TTCATGTGAGTTTTGTTTGTGGCAGTACTGGGGTTTGAACTCAGGGCTTCACACTTGCATAGCAGGTGTGCCACATTTCCAGTCCATTTTTTTTTGCAGTAGTAGAGCTTGAACTCAGGGTCTCACAATTGCTAGGCATGCAACTCTACTACTTGAGCCACTCCACCAGCCCTTTATTGTGATGGGTATTTTTTGAGATAGGGTCTTTTGAACTATTTGCCTGGGCTGGCTTTGAACCATGATCCTCCTGATCTCTGCCTCCTGAGTAGCTAGGATTACAGGTGTGAACCATTGGCGCCTGGCTCCTCACGTGAGTTTTGATCTCATTCTCTCAGCGTCCTCATCTCTGGCAGCAACAGGACCTGCTTAGTCACTGTCCCCACAAGGCCCAGTGCAGCCTCTATACATAGGAATCTCTAGTGTCAAGATGTTACAGGAGGTTTTAGGCCTCAGGCCCAAACTCCTGGGTTTCATAGGTCAGGTCCACCACTTGTTCCAACATGCCAAATAAGACATGTAATGGCAAAGGGTGGTGAAGAAAGCTTATTACACAGCATGCATAGCCATGGGAAGAAGAAAGGAAGCATTTCAACCCATCTTCCTAAAACAGACATTTGCTTTAGGTTTAAATAGAAGGAAGAATTTAGTATAGAGGAAGAAGTCACAGGTGTGTTCCAGAGGTCAGAGGTAGTTGCAGGCAGTCTGGTAGTTCATTGTTTCAGGATTGGTCAGGTAGGGCCTTGTTATAAGAGTCATTGCTGCTTGGCAAATGGTCTGTCTTGTGAGTAATGCTGCAATAAATATGCTTTTGCAGGAACCTCTACAGTAAGAGGTATACAAGGGTGGTATAGCTGGATCATTTGATAGTTCTATTTTAAAGTTTTTGATGACCCTCCATACTGACTTTCACCAGAGCTGCACTAAATTATATTCCCATCAACGGTGTACAAAAGTCCCCGCCCCCCATCCTCACCAACATTTGTTGTTTTTTGATGATAGCCATTCTGACTAGTGTAGGATGGAATCTCAATGTAGTTTTGATTTGCATTTCCCTGAAGGTTAAAGATGTCCTCAATCACAGCTTGGTCTTTCTGGCAACCAGACACATTGAAGCTATGGAGGAGCCCTGAAGCATGAATTCCGCTCATAGTCATTCTAAGAACAGTCTCATTACCAGGACATTCCAAGGGATTTAAGAGCTCTCCGTCAGGCAGCAAGGCTATGACCAGACACCTTTATTATACCACAGACTGCCTCACAGAGTTCACAGATCTGTACTGGCCGATATGATTTACAGGATCCTGAAACGATATTTGATTTTCATGTTTTTTTTTTTTTTTGGTGGTACTGGGGTTTGATTCAGGACCTACACCTTGAGCTAGTCTACCAGCCCCTCTCCCCCGCTTTTTTTTTGTGATGGGTGCTGCTGAGATAGGATCTCATGAACTATTTGCCCAGGCTGGCTTCAAACAGAGATCCTCCTGATCTCTGCCTCCTGAGTAGCTAGGATTACAGGCCTGAGCCACCAGCGCCCAGCTTTGATTTGGTTGTAATGTGTATGCAAACTCTTTGCTGCTCCTCCCTTGCTGAGGTGCAGTTTAATTTCTTCCTGTGCAGAGTGGCCTGGACCTGCTGACTCACTTTTTTCTCCCTGATGCTGCGAGGCTGATTCAGTGTGATCTGGGTGTTGGACATAAGCAAGCTGTAGCTTCCTTCTTGCCTCTTTCTCATCACTGACTCTTAGGAATCCAACTGCTGTGTCAACCTGGGGATAAGTCCACATAGCTAGGAATGGAGGCCTCATGGTCCTGAGCCAGAAAGGTCCTGAGGCCTCTTCAAACCACCATATGAGGGAGCCAAGTTTCATGAGACTCCCCCTCCCCCAGTGCCAGTTAGAGGATGCAGCCCTAGCAGTAGATAACTAATACAGCTTCCTTTTTAAATTTGCTCTAAATTAATAACTATTTGGTTTTAAGATTTAAAAAGTTTTCATGACTGAATAGGATGTATTTTATTACTATCCTCAACAATCTATTCATTTGAGCTTCAATTTCCAATAGTGACCTAGGTACACACAAAAGGAAAACCCTGCTGTGCTGGGCTGACTCTGGGCAGTCCTCCCCATTAACTGTCCCCTGTTTATCCCACTACCCTAGTCAATCACAAATGCTAAGGTAAATGTTACTGGGAAGAATTTTGGCAGATGTAATTAAAGGACCCAAATCAGTTGACCTTAACAGAGGAGATTATCCTGTGTTGAGCTGTCCTAATCAAGGGGGTCCTTAAAAGGACCAGGTTCTTCCTGAGTAAAGAAACCCAGGTGTGAGAGGGATACAGTGTGGGAGATTTACTCCACTGTGGGCTTTCAAAATGGAGGTGCCATGTGCAAAGAATGCTGAGGCTGCTTTGAGATGGCAGTAATCCTCCCTATTTACCCTGACAGCCAGCAAGGACAGGAGACCTCAGCTCTAAACCTGCAGGAAATGGAATTCTGCTTGTAAGCTTTGTGTGAGTTTGGAGGATACCAAGCTGTGGTGAGAACATAGCTTCTTGAAATCCCAAATGGAGAACCTGTCCACACTATGTCTGGATTTCATTTATTTTGTTTTTCTTTTTTTGGTGGTACTGGGGTTTGAACTCAGGACTTTGTGCTTGCACACCTCCAGTCTATTTGAGTTCTGGATATTTTGGAGATGGGGTCTCTTGAACCATTTGCCTGGGCTGGCCTTGAACCATAATCCTTCTGATGTCAGCCTCCCAAGTAGCTAGGATAAGCCACTGCCACCTGGATTTTCCTAACTTTTTTATGCTTTTCATTTATGATTTTGGTGTGATTTTAATAGTCATATTTCATTCATTCATCCAACAAAAATTAATGTATTAACAGGTGTGACTTTATTAGCTGGTGACACAACATTGATCAACAGCCCTGAGACCCTGTACTCATGGGCCTTATGTTCTAGAGGTCTTCTGAGAGTGAGATGGAGCTGTTGGCACATTTTAGATAGAAATGATACAACCTGACTCACTTTAGCAGGATGGCTGACCATAGTGAGGTTAATTAATCATGGGTGGCAGGTGGACTGTGCTAGTGCCACAGTTCAGGAGTGGGAATGGTAGGGACAAAAGTGAGATGATAGCTGAGAGAGGAAAGACAGACAGAAAGGGTGGAGATGCAGGAGGTGAGGAAAAGAGGCAGAGGTAAAGAATCTTAAAGTAGTGGAATTTTCAAATTTAACATATTTGTTTTATAGATTTTGAATAGATGTATCTACAGGGCTCAATAGGATATTCTTTGCATGTGGCATTTATCACATTCTATGGGGCTGCCTAAAAACCAATTGCTTCCTTATTTATGTTAATCAGGTTAAAAAAAAACAATACTGAGTGTCCCAATAAAATGTGCATGCACATCCCGTAGATGTTAACTCATAGACACAGGTAATCCATTAGCTCCAGTGAAGGGCACTTGGCCTGTGTTACATACTTGCAATTCTGAGAGGACTGAGGTTTGTGCTTGCTTCTGGTTGAAATATACTAACCAAATCATGCTTTTGTGTGGTTGTCTGTACATCAGTCCCCACTTATCTGTGGTTTTACTTTCCAGTTTCCTAAGGTCTGAAAATATGTCTAAAGTTCCAGAAATAAATATACCATAAATTCACACTTTGCATCTTTTTGAGTAGTAGAATGAATCTTTTGTCTGTCCCACCTGGGATGTATATCATGCCTTTGTTTAGTGTATCTAAACTGCATAGGCCACATACTACTCAATCACTTAACAGCTAACTCTGGGATCAGACGGACTGTAACACAATGCCTACACAACTCATCTCGCTCATACAGTAGGTCTGGTAGCATCTAACATTATCACAAGATGGGTGAGTGCATGATAAGATACTGAGTGAGAGAGAGCATATTCACGTAAACTTTATTAGAGTCTATGGTCATAATCACTCTATTTTTATTATTTGTTATTGTTGTTAATCTTTTACTGGGCCTAATTTATAAGTTAAGAGCATTATCATTGGTACATATGTAAAAATACAGGAAAAGGCTGTACCCAGTAGTGGGGGTCTTGGAACCTATTTCCAAAGAGTAAGGGGAACAACCGCATTTTACTGTTTTGAGGCGATCTCCTGGGCTCACACAGACAAACTAAGGTCTATGGAATGAAAGTGCAACCACCTAGAGTCATAGACATACTATCTGGGAAGGTAAAACCTTCAGGGCTTTGTGGGTCTAATTTTTTTTTTTTGTACTGGGGTTTGAACTCGGGGCCTATTCCTTGAGACACTCCTCCAGCCCTTTTTTGTAATTTTTTTTTTTTTTTTTAGATCAAGATAGGATCTCTTGAACTATTTGCCTGGGCTGGCTTTGAACCCTCGATCCTCCTGATCTCTGTCTCCTGAGAAGCTAGGATTATAGGTGTGAGCCACCCCCACCAAGCTTTTGTCCGTCCAATTGCAACTCTGTGCAGACACAGTGAAAGAAGCGGCTAACCAGTTTTTTTTTTTGCAGCTTAGACTCCCATACAGGGGTTCTCCAGACTGTGCTACCCACTATAATTATTTATAAATAAGAAAGGAAGCAGGTCTCCATGGGAATCTGTATCTGGTGCTTTCAGGGACTTTTCCACGTTTAAACGTCCTGTCCCCTCACCTCCACTCCAGATTGAGCTCACTCTCTGATCACATTCCCTCTAAGGAGTGGGAGGCGGGGAGTCCAGTTCTGGGAGAGGGAATCCAGAAGGGAAGTGAAAAAAGAGGTGCTTTGCCAGCCTGGGGTTCTCCTGTGGCTGTTTCCTCACACAGCAGGACGCTGGGAGACTATGTGACTAAAGAACGTTCTGTGCAAGAGGAGTGCGGTCAGGGCAAAGCCCCACATCCTGGGGTGGCTCTCAGAAGTGGGGGAAACGGAGCTTTGGGAATTCTCCATATCACAGTTTCACTTCTACCAACCTGATTCAGGTCCTTCCGCCTGGACACCCATGACACAACCCTATTTCCCATTCTCATTGCGTGTTAGGTTTAAGCCAATCAGCGTCGCCGCGGTTCCGGTGATGATGAACACTGCATGCACAGAATTCACATTATAGCCAGTCCCTCGGGGTCTGGATCATGGGACTTCGAACCCTGTTCCTGCTGCTTTCGGGTGCTCTGACTCTGACCAAGACCTGGGCGGGTGAGGCGGGGTCGGGAGGAAAAAGCCTCTGCGGAGGAGGAGAGAGGGGACTGCTTTGCCCAGGAGGGTGCAGGACCCGGGGAAGCCTTTTCCCCAACTTGGGACCTAAACTCACCGGTCTCGCCCTGTTCTGCCCCTTCCCTCGACCAAACTCTCACCTTTCCCCTGCTCCACTCGCCGCGGCCCTCCCTGTCCCGCCGCGCCTTTCCGGTGTCACGAGACCCCGGCCCCCTCGTCCCTTCCCGGTCCCATCAACCTGAGACCCGGGGTCCTGCCCCAGGAGGGGGATCGCATCGGGCTCCAGTCCCTTCCGTCCCCCAGGTTTCCACTCCCTGCGGTATTTCCACACCGCGGTGTCCCGGCCCGGCAGCAGGGAGGCTTTCTACACGTCGGTCGGCTACGTGGACGACACGCAGTTCGTGCGCTTCGACAGCGACGCCGCGAACCCGCGGGTGGAGCCGCGGGCGCCGTGGGCCGAGCAGGCGGGGCCGGAGTACTGGGAGCAGCAGACGCGGATCGCTGAGGCCCACGCGCAGAAACTGCGCTCCAACCTGCGCGCCACCCTCAGCTACTACAACCACAGTGAGGACGGTGAGTGAACCTGTTCTGGAGCCCGGGGTGACCCGAGTCTCCGGATCTAAGCTTCTCCCCCAGCTCCCACCACCCCCCACCTCTCCACTCTGTTAGAACCGGCGGATGTTAGCGCGGGTTTTGTTTTCAGTTTAGGCGGAAACGAACCCTGAGCTGCCACCGCCCGTCAATCTCGGGGGGGCGGGGCTAAGCGGGGGATTCGGGCGCGGGGCGTGCTTAAGGGGCGTGTCTGATCGCGGGGGTGGGGCCAGACGCCCATTCCTTACAGTGGACCTCTGGCTGTGACCTTGGGCCTGATGGGCGCCTTCTCCGCGGGTACGAGCAGTTCGCCTACGACGGCGACGATCACATCTCGCTGAACGAGGACCTGCGCTCCTGGACCGCGATGAACACGGCCGCTCAGATGACGAGGCGCAAGTGGGAAGCGTCGGGAGATGCGGAGCACTACAGGGCCTACCTGGAGGAGGAGTGCTTGGAGTGGCTCCGCAGATACCTGGAGAAGGGGAGGGAGGCGCTGCTGCGCACAGGTAGGAGCCACGAAGATAATGGGATTGCCACCGGAACGTGTCGCTCCACGTTTCCTTACTTTGGGTCCTGAGGATGGAGAGTACCAGCTAAGGGCTCTCAGAACGATTAAGGGACCTAGCCTTTCTGGGAATGGAGAGGCAGAACTGAAATAACGCTTTAACAGATTGCACAGCAGCCGGCGTTGTTCTGAGCCCCGCACCTTTGGAGGTCTGACTCCTCCTTCACCCAGGTCAGAACCCAAAGTACCTCTCAGAGACCTGGAACCTTTTATCCTGGGCTGTTTCGACCTAATTCTAGAACTTTCCAAGGAATACGATTATCTCAGAAGCCTGAATCCAGATAGTTGGCTGGGTTTTGTGCTCCTTCCTCCACCTCAATTGTCTTGTTCATTCTCAGGTTGGTCACATGGGCGGTTTCTTCGGGAGCCCATGGCAGGTAATGCAAAATGTTTGAACTTCCCGATTCTCTCCCTCAGACCCTCCAAAGATGCACATAACCCACCATCCTATGTCTGACTATATGGTCACCCTGAGGTGCTGGGCCCTGGGTTTCTACCCTGCGGAGATCACCCTGACCTGGCAGCAGGATGGGGAGGACCAGACCCAGGACATGGAGCTTGTGGAGACCAGGCCTGCAGGGGATGGAACCTTCCAGAAGTGGGCAGCTGTGGTGGTGTCTTCTGGGCAGGAGCAGAGATACACGTGCCATGTGCAGCATGAAGGGCTGCCTGAGCCCCTCACCCTGAGATGGGGTAAGGAGGGGGACCTGGGCACAGAGCCTCTGTCAGGGAAAGCAGGAGCTGGTCTGGAACCCTCAGCAGGGTCAGGGCCCCTTACCTTTTCTTTCTTTCTCAGAGAGGTCTTCCCAGTTCTCCAGCACCATCATGGTAATTGTTGTTGGCCTACTTGTAGCTGTGGTCATTGGAACTGTCGTGATTTTTCAGAAGTGGAGAAAAAAGAGAACAGGTAGGGAAGAATCAGACTCTGAGTTTTCTTGTCCCACTTGTGGGTTTCAAGTTACAAGTAGTTTTCCTAATTCTAGCTGTTACTGTGAAGCACTGTTGTTACCTACTCACCCAGTCTGGGACCTTGTGCACTAACATCTACACTCTTGAAAATCATGTGTGAAAAAGAGGAAAGTGTTTACTCTGATGATTATAGTGGTGTTGACCTCGTTCCCAGCAACACACGTCAACAGTAGAAGGCCAGCCTCCAGGAAGGATCAATTCCTTGCACTGTACTTTTCTCATCCCTCTTTTTAAAAATTATTATTATTTTTTGATGGTACTGGGTTTTGAACCTGGAGCCTCACACTTGCTAAGCAGGTACTCCACCACTTGAACCACTGTGCCAGCCCTTTTGTGTGTTGGGTCTTTTCGGTATAGTGTCTCAGGAACTATTTGCCTAGTCTGGCTTTGAACCCTGATCCTCCTGATCTCTGCCTCCCAAGTAGCAAGGCTTATAGGCATGACCCACTGGCACCTGGCTTCTCATCCCTCTTGATTTTTTCCTGGGTCTACTGTCAGTTCCAGAAACTACCTTGGGGTCCAGGACTAGGGGGTTCCTCTAAGACCTCATGACCCTGCTTCCTCACTGGCTTCTCACAGGTCACTTTCTGCTCACTGTTGGAAAAGGAAGGAGCTATACTTAGGCTACAAACGAGTATGGGGTTAGGTGGACAGGAGCCCAGGGGAGAGCTCACCCACCCCATATTCCTCCTTTAGCCACAGGTTCTGTGGTGTCTGACTAGGTGTTTGTTTTTGTTCTGTCCAGGTGGGCACAATAAATATGACCAATATCACATGGCTTGTCGAGGTGAGACCCTGGGGGGCCTGAAGAGGGAGGGAATGGGCAGAAGGGACACAGCTGGGTCACCGGGACTGTCCCAGTCTTGGACCTTTGGAGCACACAGTGGGTGTTCAGGATATTGCCACTTCTAGTGACTGTCTTGAACTTGTTCTTGATTGTTTTCTTCTGTAGTGTGACGTGGCTGCCTTGTGAGTGACACCAGATTAGCTCTCACTCCAACTTTGTGACTTCAGAAGCCCTGTATTCTCTTTCTGCAAAGGTGTTTGCCAGTTGCTTGGCAAAATGTGAAGAGGTGGGAGACCAGCCCGCTGCTGCCCACCTGGACCCATGTCCCTCCCCACAGGACCTGTATTCCCTTCCCTGCCTGACTTTCCTGTTCCAGCAGAGAGGAAGCTGGGATGTCTCCATCCCTGTGCTAACTTCGTGTTGCACTGAGCTGCATCTTTTTACTCCCTACTGAAATAAGAATCTGGGTATGAACTTATTTTCCTCAAGTTCTTGCCATGTGTTGAGATTGATGAGTTGATTAAAGGATCTTAAGATTCCAAAACTTGAGATAAAATAGGTACAAGTACTGAGAACCTTCAAGAATCCATGTGTGTGTTGTGCCCAGGGTGTTGCAGATAGGGACAGGAGAAGGCTGAGGAGCTGGATGTGGATAAGGCTGTGGCCAGACAGTACTTAGTCCTGTGTGGCTTTGATGTGGTCACTCCTTATCTGCATAATCTTTGCTGATCTTGTTGGTAGAGCCTTATCTACCAGGGCCTGTGACCACAGGAACTCAGACATTGCCTGGGCTTGATCCTGTCTCCAGGGTTATGGGTTAGTTATGTGTGGCTGGATTAACCAGGTCTCAGCTCCCATCTTGTATGTCTCATTTTTGTTTCTTTGTTCTATAGAGAATTATGCCTGTTGTTCTTGTGAATAAGTTCTGGTCTTTTTTTCCTCTGAGTGTTCCTGTCTCTGACAGCAGCAGCTGTCTTCGGTGGCCCCTATACACTGGATACTCTGTGCTATCAAGAGACAAATTTTGAGATCGGGAGAATTGAGGTCTGAGGCAAGTTATGGCAAAAAGCATGAGACCCTATATGAAAAAATAACTAAAGGAAAAGGGAATGAGTGCATGGCTCAAATGGTAGGCATTTGCCCTAACAAGCACCAGGCCCTGAGTTCAAACCCCAGTACTGCCAAAAAAAAAAAAAAAATTTCAAACCTGCCAGTTCTTGCCTCTTCTAGGACTATTTCCTATTCTTTCCATTCCCTGCCCCCCACCATTTATTACTTTTTTGGGCAGTATAGTGTTTTGAACTCATTGTCTCATGCTGGGTAAGCAGTTACTCTACCACTTGAGGCACTCCATGAGCCCTTTTTTGTGTTGGGTATTTTTGAGTTAGGGTCTCACAAACTATTTGTCTGGGCCAGCCTCGACCTATGATCCTTCTGATCTCTGACTCCCAACTAGTTAGGATTATAGGCATGAGCCATAGGCACCCAGCTTCCCTCAACCTTTTTTTAATGAACTAGATTCTGAAATCAGCAAAGAGCAGGGGTCCTGTTGTTTCTCTCTTTAGATTGATGCTATTCTGTTTTCATTCTTTTCTCACCTACCTTCTTTTCCTGCTCTTAGCTCTAATAACCCTAGTGCTGGTTCTTGTCTAAACTCACAATTTGTAAAGAAGAGTCAATTTATATTCACACTTGGTAGGTAATAGGATCACCTACCTAGGATGTTTTTTTCCAAAAAAGGCCAATGAAAGTGTATGCTGTGGAGTACAAGAGGGCTGATGAGGGAGGGCAGCCATTGTGAGAAAAGTCCCGGTGGCCCTGACTGCAGTGTGAGAGGGAGGACCTTGTGCTGCAGCAGCCATAAAGCTGCCTTTGACCTGAAGCTCCATTAATAAAGACAGTGTCTGTAGAAGAGGGAGGGGTCTGCAGATATTTGTTGTGTGACAGATGTGTGACACTATTTCTGAACCTGGGAAACATAAGTGGAATAGAAATAGACAAAGCTGAGGAGCCTGTGGTCTAATGGGTGGAGCCAGAGGACATGTTCTAAGTACATTAGCAAGTGCTAATGTTAGGAGGAAGCAAGTGGCAAGTGCAAGTACTAGTGGGAGGGGGAGGGCAAATGAAAAGGGTAAAGGAAGGTGAATATGGTGATTTATTTTCTACACATGTGTGAACATGTATGAACACACTTATTCTCTACATATGTTGAAACCTGTCAAAGTCACTTTAAGAAGGGGCAGGAGGCTGGAGAAGTGGCTCAAGTGGTACAGCACCTGTCTAGCAAGCATGAAGTCCTGAGTTCAAACACCATTACTGCAAAAAAAAAAAAAAAATAGGGGGAGGAGAAAGAGAAGAATAATGAAGGGAGCATACTAAACTGGAGTACACTATATGCATATGTGGAAAGGTCACAATGAAACCCCCATACAACTATTATATACTAATAAAAACATTTAGAAAAAGCCAGAAGCCAAGACTAACCCAAATAAAAACAATGATATGAATAAATTATGGTATGTTCAAACAGTAGACTATCACACAGAAATAAAAAAGAATGAATCGGAGCTATACACAAGAACATGAATGACTCTCATAGATTTAAGTTCAACTGAAATAAGATAAACATGAAAGAGCATACATTTCTCAATTTAAATGAGGTTCCAAAACAGGCATGAGTGGTTTATGACAGATTTCAGAAAAAAAATATTAGCTTTGAGGAAAAGTATTGACTGAAGAGAGCTTTCTGGGATGCTTAAATGTGCTTTATGTTCTATGGGTGGTATTATACAAGTATATATGCAAAACTTTATTCAGATGACCTATACATATATGGTATGTATACTTATCTGTTGATTGTAAGTTATACCTCAATAAATATATAAAAAACTGAAAAAAGAAGGTAACAGGAGTGGAGTCAAGGATTCCCTTCTCTGTCTCTCTCTCATTTTTTTTTTTTTTTGTTTCTTTGTTTGTTATTGTTGGAGATGGGGTTTCTTCTCAAACGAGATCCTCCTGATCTCAGCCTTTCCAAGAGTTTGGATTACAGGCATGAGCCACCAGCACCCTCCTAAGGGAGATCCCCTTCTCTTGTTGGGAATCCTTTTCATCCCGTACCCTTCCCTGGTGGAAGATACATGTATTAAATTTATTTCTTCTGTAATTTTTTTGGCTGAAGAAATCTTCCTTTAAATCATAATCATGAACATAATTTTCTACAGTTTTATAGATTGTAATAGATTTGTTTTGCACATATACCATGTATAGAAGATGTCCAAATAATTTTTTTTCCTTGGTGGAGAGCTTGTTACCAATTCACTCTTTACTGAAAACAGTCCTTTCTTACCTTTCCTAAAGCATTAACTGCATCAGCCAGCAAGTTCCACATCTATGTGGAGTTACTTCTGGCCTCCCTATGTTGTGTACTGGTCTCCTTTTTTCACCAGTTTGAGAACTTTGGTCTGATCCCCATAGGTTTGTAATATGTCTCTCTATTAGGTAAATAAGCCCAATAAACTGTATGTTTTGATTTCAAGAGTTTCTTTATGACATTGATGAGTTTTTAATTTGGAGACACATTTTTACAAGTTCCATAAAAATTTTATTTCTATGTCTAATAGAGATTATATTATTAAACAGGTTTGGAGTTAGAATTTATGGACATAGGATATTCCCCTTCTAAAAATCTACCAATAAAACATTGCTACTCAAACTTGTGTATCTTGTGGTGGCTTCATTACAGAAATCATGAACTATTACCCTACTGCTTATACTATCTCTTTCTTAGTTGCATTTTCTAAGTGTTAATTCTGATCTACATAAACACAAGTGATTTTTGTATACAGTTTATCTGTTTAAATAAATATTGTCCTTTCATGTAAATTAAAAAAAAAAACCCACACAAATGAATGAAGACAATATTGGAGCCCTTCTGCGGAAGTCATGACCAGGGCTTACTTTCATGGACTGTCCTCACTAAAATATCAGTGTAAACCCTTTCCTCTGCTGCAAGGGAGGATCACTGCTCTTTCAGTGCTGTTGACTTACCTTTGACAAGGTGTATCTTCCCCATTAAATATCCTTCCCCAGGGCACTGACACTGACACTTTAAGCGATGGTGTTTGAAAATGAATTGCATCCTTTATCAATAAGTTTAAAGAAAATAATGAGTTTCCTGATAAACTATGCACACCACTTAGATATGAATGATTCATAAAGACATGCAATGCATGAGCACTGGTGAGGGACATTTTGCTGCATTGAACACTTGCCATTTTGAAGTAATTAAGTTTCTGCAGCTCCTTATTGAAATATAGAGTAAAATTGTGCTTCATGTATTGAAGATATGACTTCAGCTCAACAAACAAACCCAGGGCTATGGGGTGAAGATAATTTGAAAATACAATAAAACGAGTTACTGATATACTGTCTGGGACAGCAAAACTTGTGATTCTGATTGCAATGCTATTTATAAACACATCTGCAGGAAAGCATTAGAATCATTTGCACAGTTTAAATTCCGTATTATTTAGGGGTTACCAAGATTGTGTTACTTAATGTAGTTAATAGACAAAAAAGGAAACTGGTTTCTATGGGAATCACTATGTGGTCCTTTCAGGCACAATCTCTCCAGGCTTAAAGAGAAAATCTCTGTCCCCGCCCGCTCCATTCCATGCTCACTCTCTGGCATCACGTTTCACTCTGGCAAGTTGTCTTCTAAAGAGTCCAGCTGGAGAGGTAAGAGGTCAGGGAGCCCAGTTCTGTGAGTGGGAAACAGGACGAAGAGTGAAGCGCTCCACTTAGAGCAGCCAGAGAGGGGTCGGGACAAAGGTCCCTGGGCGTGGCTTTCATTCTGTTTCAAGAGCAGTGTCTAGGGTGTATAGAAGCCTGCCGGAGTTTCACTTTTTCCTCTCCCAACCTGTGTTAGGTCTTTATTCCTGGACACAACGTGGCCAGTTCTCACTCCCATTGCGTTTTCAGTTCTTAGAGAAGCTAATTAGCGTCACAGCCCAGACCACAGTGACCCCTTCTCTTCAAATCTGATTATGGTGCCCCGAGACCTCCTCCTGCTGCTGTCAGGGTTCTTGGCCCTGACCAAGACATGGGCAGGTGAGTGCGGGGTCCGAAGCGAAAAGGCCTCAGCGGGGAGAAGCGAGGGGACCATCAGATCAGGGAAGCAGCATCTCTGCCACTGCTGGCGCAGTCCCCCCCACCGTGGCCCCGCTTGCCTGACCCCTCTCCTCACCTGAGTCGGGCCTTTCGGCGTCTAGTCGCCCCTTTTCCGTCTCGGGAACCCCCGTGTCCCCTCCTCCCCTGTGGCCTCATCAATCTGGGACCCGGGGTGCCACTGAAGGAGGAGGGTCGTGGAGTCTCAGCCTATCCCCGCACCCAGGCTCCCATTCCATGAGATATTTCCACACTGCGGTGTCCGGGCCCGGCCGCGGGGAGCCCCGCTTCATCGCCGTGGGCTACGTGGACGACACGCAGTTCGTGCGCTTCGACAGCGACGCCGCGAGCCCGAGGATGGAGCCGCGGGCGCCGTGGATGGAGCAGGTGGGGCCGGAGTACTGGGAGCGAGAGACGCGGATAGCCAAGCACGCCATACAGATTTACCGAGTGGGCTTGAACAACCTGCGTGACTACTACAATCACAGTGAGACCGGTAGGTGACCCGAGATCCAAGTCGCAAGTTACAAGTCCTTATATAACCCACGTATAGCTGGGTCTGTGAGTCTCTGGGTTGGAACATTACCAGGACACTAACCTGGCCCCCAAGACCCGCGGATTTGCTGGGGTTTCATTTTCAGTTTAGGGGGAAAAGGGCTCTGACCAATCACCATAAGTCGACTTGGAGGGGCGGGGACCAAAGATGGGCGGAGCCTATCGGGCGGGGCTTACCGGGTGGGCGGGACTAGGTTCCCACACTCTGCAAAGAATGTTTGGCTGCGAAGTTGGGGCGGACCGGCGCTTCCTCCGTGGGTACTGGCAGCACGCCTACGATGGCCGTGATTACATCTCCCTGAACGAGGACCTGCGCTCCTGGACCGCGGCGGACACCGCGGCTCACATCACCAAGCGCAGGTGGGAAGCGGCAGGGGAAGCCCAGCAAGAGAGGGCCTATCTGGAGGGAACGTGCGTGGAATGGCTCCTCAGGCACCGGGAGAATGGGAAGGAGACATTGCAGCGCACAGGTACGAGGGCCAGGAGTGGAGACTCTCGGATCTCTCTGGATCTCCTCTGGGCTGGGGTTGTGCTCCCAGCTGGTGACCCACAAAGAGGAGTGAATAATAGTACCTGTGCCAGGATACTCCCCACCAGAGGGTAGGAGAGGGAGAAGTCCACCTGAGTTTTCAGATATGGAGCTCAGCCAAAAGAGAGTCACTTGTCCAGAGGGCTACTATTCTCTCAGGGACAAGATGGCTCCTGTCTGTCTGGGGAGAGAGGGGAAACTATCCTCCACAGCAGTTCCCTTTGACTCTTGGCAGCAACTTTGATAACTGGGACCTTGCTTCTCATGCCTTGTTGTCAGCCTCACACCTAATGTGTTTGACTCTAACTTTTCTGAAAATTCTGGTCCCTGATCAGGACCAGAGTCCTGTTTCCTCTCAGAAGCCTGGAGCCTTCTACCTAGGGCTGTCTCACCTTCCTCCTACCCCAGTGTTCTGTCTGGTCTTAGGATGCGTCACTTGAATGCCTTGTCATTGGCTCATGGGAGGTAATGCAAAATGTCTGAATTTCCTGAATCTTCCCATCAGACCCACCGAAGACACATATCACCCACCACCCCATCTCTGACCAGAAGGTCACCCTGAGGTGCTGGACCCTGGGCTTCTACCCTGCGGAGATCATTCTGACTTGGCAGAGAGATGAAGAGGACATGGAGCTTGTGGAGACCAGGCCTGCAGGGGATGGAACCTTCCAGAAGTGGGCAGCTGTGGTGGTGCCTTCGGGGGAGGAGCAAGAGATACACGTGCCACGTGCAGCATGAGGGGCTGCGTGAGCCCCTCACCCTGAGATGGGGTAAGGAGGGAACGTGGGCACAGAGCCTCTTGTCAGGGAAAATAGTAGCTGGTCTGGAACCCTGAGCAGGGGCAGGTTGAGAACTATAGGCCAATGTCACTCATTTTCCTTTACTTTCCTTCCCAGAATCATCTCCTCAGTCCACCATCCCCATCATGGGAATTATTGCTGGCTTGGTTCTCCTTGGAGCTGTGGTTGCTGGAGCTGTGGTGTCTGTGGTGATGTGGACAAATTGCTCAGGTAAGGAAGGGATTAGTCTGATTTTTCTTGTCAAATGGATAGGAGTTTGCAAATTTCCTGCTTGGTTGAGACATCATTTGTACACAGGTGTTTACCTAGCAGGGGCTGTGTACTGACACTCTATGCTTCATTGAGCTCTTCATAAGATAAAAGACAAGTTTATTACCTTGATAATTTTGATGCAAACTTGATTCCCAGCAGTGGCAGGTCAGAGGTGAAGGTCCCTGCTGAGGACAGACCTTCAGAAAGGCACTAGGCCATTTTCTTGCACATCTTTCTTCATACCTCTTGTTCCTTGCCCAGGACTGAAGTCAGGGAAACGCCCCTGGGGTCCAGGAATAGGGGATTCCTCTAGACCTTCATGGTCATGCTTCCTCTCTGGCTTCTCACAAGACATTTTCTTCCCACAGATAGAAAAATACGGAGCTACATGCCAGCTGCCAGTGAGTATTGGAGGCGGATCCCTGAGACCCTTGGGGTAGTGTAGATGAGAACTAATGGGGGAGTTCACCCACTCCACAATCCTTCCTTCATCCACATTTGCTATGATCTCTGACAGGCTCCTGTGTATTTGTACTCCAGCCAGGGATGGTGCCCAGAGCTCTGAGTTGTCTCTCCCAGCTTAAGAAGGTAAAGTCCGGGGCATCTGAAGTGTGTGTGTGTTGGGGGAACTGAGTCAGGTTATGGAGACTTTTTAATTTGGGGTATTTTGAGTGTGTGGTAGGTTGCTGAGAGTATCACAATTTAAAGTGACTAATGTGAATTTGTTCTTTGTTGTTTTCTTCTGTAGTGTGAGACAGCTGCCCTGTATGGAACTGAGTGATACAGGATTTGTGTATGTCCCCACTTTATAACTTCAAGAATCCCTGGACTCTTTTTATGCAAAGATCATCTTACAGGAATAATGCTATTAATAGCATGTGATAGTGCTGGGGAATTCTTTTTCTGCTCTGCTCACCTGCCTGTCTCCCTGCCAGTAGCTCTAGCAATCCTAGAGCTGGTTCCGTGTCAACCTAAGTATTTATGAGGCAGAGTCTAATTTGATTCGTATTTATTCAGAAAATAGGGTCCATAAGTCAAGGATTGTTGTTCTCTGGAGAGAGAAATTGACCATGTTCTGTGGGAAGGAGGGAGGGGGGCTGCACTTGGGAGAAAAGCCCAGGTGACCCTCACCTTAGAGTGAGAGGACCTTGTGCTGCAGCTGTCACATAGCAACCTTTGAGCCAAGGCTCCATTAATAAAGATAGTGTCTCCTGAAGGAGGAGTCTCTGCAATGATCACTCATTCAACCGACATTTGTTATATGCCAGATATGTGACATACTAATTTTAGAATCTGGGAAAGTGGTTGGGGAAGAAGGAAAAAACTGCCAACCTCTGGGGCCATGTGTTGCAGTGGAAAATGGCAGAGGGCATACACTTTAAGCAGAGTAAATAAGGACAGTATTCATGTTAGGAGATGGCAAGTGTTACAGGGAAGGTGGTCCAGAGTGTGGCTGTGTGGGGACAGGGACCATGGCTATTTTACTATGGTGCTCAGCATGGGCCTTGTTGAGATGGTGACTTTTGAGGAAAGATTTGATGAACATGAAGGATCATCTCTGACAGTGACAATGTTTGGACCTAGTTAGTTCTTTCCAGGCAGAAGATACTGCAGTGCAAATGCACTGGGATAGGAGCGGGTCCTGTGTTCAGGAAGACCAAGGAAGTAGTTACTGAGATGAGGACAAGAGTGCAGCCACACGGTGAGAGCTGGGGCATCCAAGGGTTGGACCTCTTCTGTGACTGTGACAGGAATTTAGAATACAGTTGAGCAGAAGAGGGCCACGGTACAACAGATCTGTAAAACAGATTGGGGTATTAGGATCTGTGTTGTAGAAGGAACTCTGGCTGCTATGCTGAGAAGAGAATCTCAAGGTGAGGTGAGAGCCAGGCAGTGGGAAACTGAGGAAACCAGTGCTCTGTTCCTGCTGGAGATGCTGGTGCCCTCATCTGGTTGTGAGCAGTGGAAATGGTGACAGTGACAAGTTCCTGGATCCACTCTGGAGATGACTTTACAGAACTTTCTAATGGACTAAATCTGGGATGTGAGAAAGAGGAGTCAAGTAATATAGCCAGGATTGCAGACTGCACAAGTGAAGGATGGAGGGGAGAGACCCTGGCAGGAGCACATGTGAGGAGGGCACATGGCAGCACTCAGGGTAGGAGATGTTGAGCTGAGCTGTCCACTAGAAATGCAGGTGAGGTGGCCAGGTGACAGTGGGAGTAGAGGAGCATGGAAATATTTAGGAGGAATGACTGGGCTGGAGAAATAGACTTGGGAGGTGACATAATTAGAATATTTACATCCTTGAGAAATGCTGAGGGCACTGAGGGAGTGGTGACTACAGAAGCACAGCTGAGCATGAACTGAGCCAGGAGCTCCAGTGTGAGTGATCTGATTAGACCACATGCCCAGTGCAGGTTAGATGGCGCTTAGACCAGGGAGTCCCAGACTTCCCCCTGGATGTCACCGTAACACACAGTCTGGAGTTGAGCATGAGAATCTATATTTATGACAAGGTGATGTTGGTCAGCCTCACCTTAAACTCTTGTTCAGTGAGACTCCTGATCTTGGGCCAGTGCTTTGAGATGGGCACACTGTGGAAAGACACTCACATTGTGTGCAGCCTACCAGCCATCCTCTGTTCAGCCAGACTGGGAACTACTGATGTCAGTAATCAGAGCCTTTCCAGACTTGGGATGTGTCTTAAACCCTCTCTCCTCCCGCTACTCCTCACATATTACATATTTTTGGTGGTACTGGGGTTTGAACTTGGCCTCATACTTGCTAGGCAGGTGCTCTACTACTTGAGACACAGCTCAGCCCTTAAAGCCATGTTTAAAAGATGGTTTTCTTTAGAAAGAAAAGGCAGGACATGCACTGTCAATTTTGAGATGTGGACCATACAAATGGATGTGTCTGCTTCAGCAATAAGTTCATAGCCCGTTTTCCTCCTGAGGTGCACATGGTTACCTGCAGTGTACAGCCGGCGCAGAGAATCTCCACTTCACGTTAAACGGAGAACCGAGGAGGCCCCCAGGCCGCCAGTGGCCGGTGCCCACACGGCTTGGGAAGACGCGGACCAGGTGAGCTTCGCGGTACCGCGGTAGCCCCACAGACAAGCCTGGGCCAGAGCAGCATAGCCCCCTGGACAGACTGACCTCCACCCGGGAAAAAAGAAACTGAGTACTAAGCAATAAGAACAGTTAAGACACGCTGGAAAGAGGGTGGGGCGCTCTGAGCGCTGAAGATTGGGGGAAGGGAATCCTTCCCGGGACTGTAAATAAAAGAGCCGGGTGGGCCGGAGAGGCTCTGGCGGGAGCGGGGCGCGCCCAGCAACCAGGAGCGGGACGCTTGTGAGAGGAGGGAAGACCCACTTCCCACGTGAACTGTAAATAAACACGCAGGCCTGACAACGCGGGGCAGTGTCCTTTCCCAGTGCTTGGAAAGGGGAAAAGCTGTAGCAGAGGCCCCGACAGGAGAACTCTGAGCAAACAAAGCCTGTGGGACCAGGTGAGTGCTAAGCTCACCCCAGAGATCTGCATAAATAACGCCGCCAGCTATAGGCTGAGAGCAGCAGGCAGGCAAGCCACAGTTGCAGATACCACTCTCAGAACTGCCTCCAGACGCTTTTTTTCTTTTTCTCCCTACCTTTGATGAGAGAACAACCGAATTACACCTGCAAGCCGAAAAACTTACTGAAACTGTATTGCATTTGAACTGGGGACACTTGGTGGGGCTTTTTTTTTTTTTTTTTTATCTTCTGTGTGTGTGTGAGTGTAGTTTTGTTCTACTTTATGCATCCCTTTGATGAGACAACTACAGAACAACATCTGAGGCACCAACTCCAGGACTGGAGATTGAGACGGACATCCAAATTATTAAGACTGAAATTGCATTGCATATAAACTTGGAAGTTTTTTTGGTTTTTTTTTTTTTAATTTTCTGTTTTCCATTTTATTTTAATTCATTTTTATAAATAGATATTACTTTCATATACTTATTTTTTATTTTTTTATCTTTGATTTTCAATCCTCTCTCTGTCTCTCTATTGTCTGTTCAGCTTACTGTCGATTAGTACACTAACACTCCCTGTTTATACCTTTGAAACTCTCTTGTCTGATACCTTGTTCTGCTTTCTCCCTCTTGTCTGTATATTTGTTTTCCCCTTTTCTTTAACTTCTTGCTTTCCATCTCAGCTCACTCTTCCATTCTCAATATTACCATTGTTATTATTACAAGCTAGAAAATACTTAATTACACACAGTACAGGGACAGTAACAACACCAAGGACAATGACGGAAGACAGAAAAAACAAGGAAACCAGTTTCCCCACAGCAAAAATTAGTACAGGAACCAGAGGGGAATGAAGAGAACAGAAACTCAGAGCCAGACTCCAACAAAATGAAGATAAACTATGCCAAAGGACCCAATGAAGCCTACAAGAATAATTTAAAAGAAGACATACTACAAGTACTCAATGAGAATTTTATAGAGATGATACTGGATAGGGTCAACCAAAATGTACAGGAGACACTCAAGAAATTCCAAGACAATAAAAATAGAGAATTTGAAAAAGCAAAAGAAGAAATAAAGGAAACCATAGAAGCACTGTATAAACACCAAGTGAAAGAGAACACAATGAATAAATGGATAAATGAACTCAGGACAAAAATAGACAACAATAAAGAAGAAAACAGCCAGGATATGGAAAACCTCAGAAAAAAGAGAAACAGAACTGCAAAACAAAACGGAAGGCCAATCCAGCAGAATAGAACAAACAGAAGACAGAATCTCAGAACTTGAAGATGAAATGGTAATTAAAGGAAAAACTGAAGAACTATTAATTAAACAACTCAAGACCTGTGAAAAGAAAATGCAAGAACTCACCGACTCCATCAAAAGACCAAACTTGAGAATCATGGGCATCGAAGAAGGAGAAGAGGTGCAAGCGAAGGGAATGCGTAATATATTCAACAAAATAATAACGGAAAATTTCCCAAATCTAGAGAAAGATATTCCCATACAAATGCAAGAGGCCTCCAGGACACCAAACAGACCAGATCAAAATAGAACTACTCCACGACATATCATCATTAAAACAACAAGTTCAGAAACTAAGGAAAGAATATTGAAGGCTGTAAGAGAGAAAAACAAGTAACATACAAAGGTAAACCATCAAAATCACAGCAGACTTCTCAACAGAAACATTAAAAGCAAGAAGAGCGTGGGGTGAGATCTTCCGGGCACTGAATGAAAATAACTTCAACCCCAGGATACTCTACCAGCAAAGCTATCATTCAAAATAGATGGAGCAATAAAAGTCTTCCATGATAAGCAGAAACTAAAACAATATGTGACCACAAAGCCACCATTACAAAAGATTCTGCAAGGGATCCTGCACACAGAAAGTGACACCCAACTTAACCATGAAAAGGCAGGCAGCACCAAACCACAGGATAAGAAAAAGCAAGACAGTAGAGAGTAACATCAAGTTAGGTACACACAATCAAACCTTCAAACAACTAAGACAACTAAATGGCAGGAATCACCACATACCTATCAGTACTAACACTTAATGTTAATGGACTTAATTCACCCATCAAAAGACACCGTTTGACAAAATGGATTAAAAAGAAGATCCAACAATTTGTTGCTTACAGGAGACTCATCTCACGACAGAAATAAGCATATGCTTAGGATGAAAGGCTGGAAGAAGATTTACCAAGCCAATGGCCCCCGAAAACAAGCAGGAGTAGCAATACTTATCTCTGACAAAGTAGACTTCAAACCTACATTGATCAAACGAGATAAAGAAGGACATTCCATACTAATAAAAGGGGAAATAGACCAAAAGGAAATAATAATCATCAATCTGTACGCACCCAATGTCAACGCACCCAATTTCATCAAACATACCCTGAAAGACCTAAAAGCATATATAAACGCCAACACAGTGGTTGTGGGAGACTTTAACACTCCATTATCATCAATAGATAGGTCATCCAAACAAAAACTCAATAAAGAAATCCAAGATCTAAAATATGCAATAGATCAAGTGGACCTAGTAGATGTCTACAGAACATTTCATCCAACTTACACAATATACATTCTTCTCAGCAGCCCATGGAACCTTCTCCAAAATAGATCATATCCTAGGGCACAAAGCAAGCCTCAGCAAATATAAGAAAATAGAAATAATACCATGCATACTATCTGACCACAATGCAGTAA